GAGGCGCATGAGGCGTGAGGCGTACTGGAGGCGTGCGCCTCACATGAAATGCTTCAGTTTTCGGATCTATTAGGGAAAAACCGGCCTGGAACTTCTGTTTAAAAAAGGGCCCATTAAAAAGACTTTTGTGGGCCCAAAAAAACCTAAAAAACTAGGTGATATATACGTATATGCAGCCAGAAAATCAGGAAAACTGAAAAGTCAGAATTCAGAGACAAGAGCTTACTGCTTACCGTCTTCTTCAGCCTCTGATTCTTCTGGGTTCTGGGTCTGGCCGGCTTCATCAACAATCAGGTATTCTCCTCCTTATTCTTCTTCTTCTCCTACTTCTTCTTCTTCTTCTTCTCCTACTTCTTCTTCTTCTTTTTCTCCCACAGTCCTACTTCTTCTTCTTCTTGTTCAGAATTCAGAACACATCCTGCATGCATGCAATAAGTTATGTTCAGAACAAATCCTGGAGAAAAAAATATTCTGCAGATTTAGTGAGAGGCAAAAACATATGTTTCAGTTTCTATTTCTGAATGGTGATACCGTGAGTTACTACTTACTACATGCTACCAAAATAATTTTTGCTTGTCACTGACCAGTGACCACAAATTCAGTTTCTATTTCTGTTTCACTATAGGCTATAGCACACAGATTATAACTTCAGTTTCACACATGTTTCAGATTTCAGTTTCAGTTTCGCACATGTTTCATTTTCTGTTTCACACATGTTTTAATATTATACAAGCAAAAATTTCTTCTATAATTTTTTTAATAACTTGTAGGATGGGAAAGAGCATTAGAAAAGACCCGGCTTGGAAATATGGAAAGGAAGTCGTAAGTTCGGGAGATGAGAAGAAGAAATATCTTTATATTGAATGCCAATTTTGCAAGAAAACAGTTACAGGAGGGGTCAAGCGTATGAAAGAACATTTAGCATGCACACATAAGAATGTAGCTCCATGTCCCAATGTTCCTGAAAGTGTCAAAAAAGAGATCGAAGATTATATGAACACAGGAACCATGAAAAAACACCTTTCACAACAACAGTTTGATGATATGGTACACCTTGGTAATTACTATGAGGGAGAAACAGCAAGGGGCAGTAGGGGACCAATGGATAGATATATTTCTAATATTGGTGACGAGGAAGAAACAGACAATCAAACTCTAAAGATGACTCCGAAAGAGCTACGCACTAAAATCAGCTTGGATGTTGGCAGATTTTTTTTCGAAAATGCAATACCCTTCAATGCTGTTGAATCTCCTTCATTCGTTAACATGTGTCGGGCTATTGGTTCATATGGCAGAGGTTTTAAGCCGCCTACTATGTATGATCTACGCTCTTGGATCTTAAAAAAAGAATTGGAAACGACCGAAAAAATAGTTGAAGATATAAAGAAGACGTGGAGCAAAACTGGAGTTTCTATTTTATCCGATGGTTGGTCTGACACGAGGAATAGAAGTTTGATTAATTTTCTAGTCAATAATCCACAGGGAACTGTTTTTCTAAAATCTATTGATGCTTCAGATGCAATTAAGGATGCTAATTTGATGTTTAAGTTACTGGATGACGTTGTTGAAGAAATTGGAGAAGAAAATGTTGTTCAGGTTATAACTGATAATGCTAGTGCCTATAAAGCAGCAGGACAGAAATTGATGGAGAAAAGAAAACATTTATATTGTACTCCTTGTGTCGCACATTTTCTTGATTTAATGCTCGAAAAACTTGGATAAAAGAAAACATTTATATTGGACTCCTTGTGCCGCACATTGTCTTGATTTAATGCTCGAAAAACTTGGAGAGTTGCCACAACACAAGAATGCTTTGATGAAGGCAAAGAAGATAAGTAATTACATTTATAATCATCAATGGGTATTGGCATTAATGAGGAAAATTGCAAAGAAGGAGCTACTTCGACCTGGCGCTACTAGATTTGCTACCGCTTATTTGACTCTGCAGAGAATTTATGAATTGAAAAAACCACTACAAACTATGTTTACTTCAGAGGAATGGGTGAATTCAAGATGGGCAAACAAAGCAGAGGGCAAAGAAATAAAGAAGATCATATTAAGAGATAGTAATTTTTGGCCAAGCATTGCATACGCATTAAAGACCACGAATCCTTTAGTCACTGTACTAAGACTCGTTGATTCTGAAAAGATGCCTGCCATGGGTTTTATTTATGGAGCTATGGATACTGCCAAAGAGGAGATAGCAAAAAATTTGGGCAACAAGGAAGCGGCGTATAAGGAGATTTGGGATATAATAGATGAAAAGTGGGAATATCAGCTGCATAGAGACTTGCATGCTGCTGCATATTATATGAATCCTCGTTTTCAATACGCAGATAATTTTTCTAAGCATCCTGAAATTAAAGCGGGTCTATTTAATTGCATGGTGAGACTCATCCCTGATCAAAAAGATAGGGAGAAAGCAGATCTCCAATTGGATGACTTCGTAAACAGACATAATTTCTTTGGTCTCGAAAATGCAAAATCAACTTGCACAAAACGTTCGCCTGGTATGTGTTTGTATTAGGAGATATTAAATTTTATTTACCTCACATTGTTATTATTTTCAATTTGAATTCAGCCTTTTGTTTTACACGTGATATTGTTTATTATAATGCCATTATTATTTTGTTCTAGTTGCTTGGTGGACTCAATTTGGTGATGGAACTCCAGAATTGGCTCGATTTGCAATACGAGTTTTAAGTCTAACTTGTTCATCTTCTGAGTGTGAACGTAATTGGAGTACATTCAATCAAGTACATACCAAAAGAAGAAATCGCTTGACCACAACGAGGTTGAACACTTTAGTCTATATCTTGTTTAATAAAAAGCTCAAGGCTCGACATACACGACTGAAGACACTTCAAGAGGATGATGATCCTTTAACTGTTGAGGAATTGCCATCTGATGATGAATGGATTGCCGATCAAGGTCCTGTAGTTCAGTCAAGCATACTTGATCTAACTAATGATGATTCCAATGTAAATCTTGATGATGTTGAAGGGGTTGAAAATTCTTCTCGAAGTTCTCGTACAAAAAGTCAACCGAATAAAAAACGCACTTTTTCACAAAGAGGTATTCTTATAAATGTTAATATGAAGCTTTGTGTTATTTATTCTTTCTTTAGAACTTATATTAACAAACGTTTTATTTGAATTCACAGATAAGGGAAAGGCATCATCACTACTGATTGACGAAGAAGATGATATGATAGATATTGACAGTGACGATGAAAATGATACCAGCGTTGGAGATGACAATGACCTAGAGGATCTTATGGATAGTGATGATAATGGAGACCTTTAGGATTTATATCTTAGTAGTTAGTACTATATTTCATTTTGGAGACTTTTTTTGGATATAACTATTGACCGATGCTTAACTTTATTAATATATTTTGGATTTTGCTTTTTGTTTTTTTTGTTAAAAAACTTTCATGATTGTTTACTGCTCATTGGAACCATTAGTTATATATTTTTATGTTATTTTCTAATTTTTCAACTTAATTTTTTTTTTTTTGTGGTGAGGCGTTTTGAGGCTTACGCCTCGCCTCGTGACAACAAAACGCCTCAGTACCCGTTTACGTTTTTTTAAACCATGGTAATATCTCCTACACTACCAACATGCATTTAGTTTACCTAGCCCTTCTAACATCCGACACGATAAAGATACTACATCAATCATCAAAGACAAAATATCGTGATCATTTAAATAGGAACGGGTACACGTATGCCCCACCTGTAGATCCAGAAATGATCAAAATCATTGCTAAAATTTCTAATTAGACTTCAAGTCAAGCCACTTTTGTTTTGGCATTCCAAACCCACAAACCGCAAAGTCTCCATCTCCACATGAAATGTTTCAATACATACATTAATCATGCGAAAAGGTACAGATGATCAAGAAACCATGCTCCCGATCTTCTTTTGTCACAAAAAACCGACATAGCTTTAGTTGCTTTTCTCAATAGTCAGTACACCAATTTGGGGGGTATCTTTAGGCCGTACGATTGAGGGGAGCTTATGTTCGGGGAGATGACCTATACAAAATTTAATATAAAAAATGGACATAAAATATTATTGCATCTAGATTGATTGAAATTCTGAGTTCAAAACTGGTAACAATGTCTAAAAGCGAGACATAATAAGTAGTCGTGACACGTTGAAATTAACATGTATGGATAATAGAGGACAAAATCTGAAATAATCGTGCGTCAAGTGGTAGTGTCTAGAGAATTTATTTAGACGTACGCAGAATTAACGTGATAATGTATCGAACCAGATGTCATTTAATAGTAATAATGAGATCTCTAGAATTAATTTATTAAAGAGGGAGAAACTATTAAGGTATTAAGTTATTGAAGAGGGAGAAACTAATAAATATTTTCAAAATAGCGTGAAATAATCTATAAATTAAGGGAAGATTATATTGTAAGCACGAAAATTAGGAAAAATCATTAAGATCTGTTAAATTAATTAAGGTAATTTTAAATGTATTATTGAAAATAATTATGAAATATAAGTTAGTAATTTGAAATATTTTTAAATATATAGTATAATGAAAATTCGAAAATAGCACCGGTAAAAGGTGGGCCTCCGCGTGAACACTCCTGATTTGGGCTTGGGCTAGTTACCAGGCAGCTTAGCGGGTTCGTACTGGCCTATACAAGAGAATTCGATCCAGATTTCGATCTCACGAATCCGAATCATCTCTCTCATCACTTTACCCGTATCCGATTTGGGACTGGCATTCTCTCGTCTCTCTCATCCATGGCGTTCCAGTCATTGTAATTATCACATATTGAAAGAAAGCTTAAACAAAAACTAAGCTCATGACGGCAAATCTTCTCTCAAACCCTACACTTTCATCTTCTTTCCTTGGTCATCAACTGTAAGTTTTTTCTTATATTTCACGGATTAAATTACCCATTTTTTTGTATTAATTCGATGTATAATCTTGTTCGTAGATTATTATCCATTTTCTCCTCTAAAAAAAAGAAGCTTTATTTTTTATGCAGTTCAGCTCGAGGTAAGTCGAAGAGAATAACGCCGTGCAGCTTCAATTTTAGGAGTCCTAAATGCGCCGTGGATACTCCATATGAAGGTAAATTTACCTGACATGTAGAATTCATGCACAAATTGCATGTATGTCTAAGCTTAAAACTTTTACTTGCAAGGATATTTACTCATAATTATTAAGTTAGAAAATGAACAATTTTTTTATGGGCCACGGTTGGGGGATAAGAAAGTTACTTATTTTGGCATTTGACAGTAAGAAAATAACAATTTAAAAAATAATTATTTTCGGTTTTTGAATATCCATAGGTAACATTTCAAAATTTCCTCGGGTTAATGTCTGGGATCCTTATAAGCGGCTGGGTATAACTACTGATGCCTCTGAGGAAGAAGTTTGGAGTGCTCGGAATTTTTTGTTGAGCCAGTATGCTGGTCATGAGAGAAGTGCTGAATCAATCGAAGCTGCTTTTGAGAAGCTGCTGATGAGCAGCTTCAGGAATAGGAAGAAAACAAAAATCAACTTAAAGACGAGGCTAAAGAAGAAGGTTGAGGAGTCTCCACCTTGGGTTAAGAACTTGCTTAGTTTTGTGGAAGTACCCCCACCTGTAATCATTTTAAGAAGATTGTTCCTATTTGCATTTATGGCATGCTGGAGTGTGATGAATTCTGCTGAAGCTGGGCCTGCTTTCCAGGTTTGTTTTACGCGTCTGATTATTATACAATTTCCTCTCAAACCTATTCCACTTAGGGTTGCTTGCCTGGGAGAGTACAAAATATCGATATTGGCTAAGATCTCATTTTATGTAACTATTTACTCTTACTGCTGGTTTGTTGGGAAGTTTTTTGCTAGATTGTTTGAGAAAACATAGTTTACGATAAATTGAAAATAAATTTTGGATACACATCAATTCATTACTTTATTGTGTTCCCAAAAAGCTTCTAGGTAGTTACTTTTGTCTAAGTTTGTCAAAATGATTGCCTTTGTTGCAGAAATAAGATTCCTAACTTCAATTTTATGGAAACAACTGACTCAGGGAAGCTAGTAACCTGCAATAAAGAGATACATAAAGAGAAATTGAAGTAAGAAATATGAGGCTTCAACTGTTGTGATGATCCAGAGAAGCTAATATGTTGGTGTATTGTTGTAGAATTGAATTTAAGAGCTTGTATAGGAGTATGAAATTTGCCAAATTTAACAAAGAGAAAACTGCTGTTGGTATCTAAAATGACAAGATCAAGCTGCATATTTATAAATTATAATAGTACTTAGTTTTGGAGGAAAAAGAAGCAAAATGTTTTATCTAGAAGAAAGTAACGTACTGTCTGGTTAAATACAAAGAAGAGTAAAAGACACGGAGAGACCTGTGAAAGCTTGTTTAGAGCATTAGTTTCCTCTAGTGGAAAGACAACTTGTCCTCCAGTTTTTAGCTTTCCGTAATCTACTAGATCTCAAAACTATATAGTTTGTCGGATGTTTCTGGATTGACCTCCTCCAACAGTTTGATTTGCTGCCTTCCTTCCCTTTAAACAATCCCGGGACAGCAACATCAAAATTTTGATCAATAATGTATAATTTGCCGTCCTTTAATAGATAACATTTTAAAATCAGTTGACATTTTAGAATGCCTTACTAGATATTATTGAATTTCAGTCCAGGCTTGTGTGCATACATCAGATCATATTGTAGATCCTTCCAACTCATCTACATAAGAAAGAGGCTATATAGAATTGTTTGCAGTGGCTAGCACAGGGATCTCAGGACATTTATGAACTATAAAGTGCAGGAAAGTCGCCTGTCGCCAAGGTCTCTTGGGAGTTGGGACCTTGGCACAAAGTGCAAAGCGAGCACATATTTTATTGCAGCAAAATACATGTCATATTCAATGTCAATTCTCTATAAAGGCACTGGGCACATTATATTCAACAATATAAGAATTGCAGCAACTTTATGCAAACATCTGTTATTTTAACAGAATCTGCCACATGTGCTTCGCTCTTTTTTGAACCTGGACCATGGCGCTCTTTTGCACTTCAACTCTATTAAAATGGCCAAGTCGTTGTACCATTGCTGCCCTTGAAAAAACTGTTGGACATTCATCAAACATTGGAATGCAAGTCATTCTTTGAGGCTTACTAAAGAATAAAGATGATCTCATGGATGGTTGCCAGTGTTCAATTCTTCTCACAGAATCAGTATCAAGCATCTTCTTCATAGGAAATGTTTACTTCTCTCTCAAAAATAAGAACTTTTTAGCATCTTAGTATTTTTCTTGTGGTTTCATCTAATTTTCTTCTCTTGGTTCACTATATGACGTTGGCTAACTTCTCGTGTGTTACAATCAAACTCAGGCTCTACTTGTTTTGCTTTGTTTGAACTGATTATTAGCTAAAGAGGAAGGATAGACCCTAAGCTAACGTGGTGGTTGCTAAAGATCTAATTACTTTAGATCTCACAATGTGCCAAGTAGAGTAGCAAAAAAGGATTCCGAAAGCTAGTCCCAAATTTATCAAGATTAAAACTTTGTTTGTTGTCGAACTGATTATAGTATTTGAAAATAAATTAGGAATGTAATTTAAAAATAATGTGTTATTTTTAAAATTAATATTATTCGTCCCACGAGTCTGTGGCAATGAGATCACTGCTACATTGTCCAATAAAACTATAATTCATTTCTATGTATTGGACAATGGTAGCCATTCCGTTGCCACCTAGATTGATGCTGAGCAGTAAGCACGAGGGAGGTTGAATATCGTTATTTTATTTTTATTTATGGCCCATGTTTGGTGTAGCTAAACATCATAAAATTGAAGAAAGTTGTGGGTCCATAAAATGTATGACTAGAATTAATTATTAATTTTGACTTAGATTCTTATCAACATTTTAAGCTACACCAAACTAGGGCATAGTAGTCGAAACTTGGTAATTAAGCAATTTCCTAAATCTTAAAGTACAATGATCGAGAGCATGTTTGTTTGGGGTTTATTTGGTGATTATATGCAGGAGAGAAAAAAGTATGTTTGCTCTGAGACTATGCTCGCCGGACATTTTCCCATTAGAAAATGTTAGAATGACCAGAAAACTATTAGGTTCATACCTGTCACAAATTCCAATTGCCTGCTATACTTTGTGTGATGGAAGTGATTGCCTGGAGGACTATATATATATATATTTATTTATTTATTTATTTATTTTTATTTTTTATTTTTTCCTGGCCTATGAAAAATATGCAAAGACCCTTTTGTTTTCCCTCCACGTCTACTTTTTGAGTGTTCAGTGATGCCGTTGCTCTTAGCATTAAGAATATCCTATCGTGCATGTTACTTGGAGGTATCATCCATTCATGCTTATGTAATTATGTTTACATCTATACAACAATTTAATTTCAAACACTTGAATATTGTCAACTGGCATATTTTGATTATGTATAATTTTCCCTGCACAGGTGGCATTGTCTTTGGCAGCTTGCATATACTTCCTCAATGACAAGACCAAGAGCTTGCCTAGAGCTGCTATTATTGGGTGAGTTCTGTGGGAGAAGAGCTCTTTAATTTCCTATTTTTACCCCCATATCAGATTCACTGCTCTATTAGTTACTCATTGGTGAATATTTGCTGGTTAACCGTATTCTGAAACGCGGATAAAAATTGTTTTATTCATGGCAGATTCGGGGCTCTTGTTGTTGGCTGGATATGTGGTTCTTTCTTGGTTCCATTGATCCCATCATTTCTGTTGCAACCCACTTGGACTCTTGAACTTCTAACGTCACTGGTAGCGTATGCTTTCATGTTTTTGGGATGTACTTTTTTGAAATGAAACTTCACTGTGTCTTTTGACCATGCCATTCTTGTGGAACATGCAACTGCAGCTGATGTTTTACTAGTTCCATTGTACTTCAATCATGATTTTCGTTAATCGTGATATAAATTTTGAGAATAGAGTTATCATACATGCGATCTTCTTGAGTTTCTTTCTTTAATGGTCATTCTCCTTTTAAGCTCTTGTACCACCTTGTTTTCTAATGGTATGTTTTTATGACTTCTTTTATTTGTAAAATTGATGAGAGAAATATAAAAATGTGGTTTCAATGTTGCTCATCCCACATTTATTTAGGTAGAAACCTTACATTACCTAAATGTGGTTTTAACAATTGGTATTGGAGCATACACCCTCGGGGATATACTAATATTAGTTTTTCCTTGGGAGTAATATTTCATGTCAATTTATTTAGTTAAAATAGGGACCAATTGTCAAGCTAGACAAACACGATTAGAACAATCTAAAATGAGATAGATCATCTCAAAATTAGGTGCCTCGATTTGTTTTAAAGTTTTTAACACCACCACTTGGCACGTTGTGCAAGGCATCGAACATTGTGCAGGCATCGAACATTTATATTTTAAACGTCGTTTGTTCTGATTTGATTTTCTGAAAAGATAGAAGTGTACAAAGTATACAGGTTCTTGAGAATTATAGTCAACTAGTGCTCGTTTGGTGAAATTAATTTTCGACAGGTCAAATCATACATTACATGGTCGCTTCAACTTTTATGAAAATTTGCTAAAACTTTATCGAACAATTCCAAGATATCAATAAACTTTATGTTCTATTTCACCGAATATCCTTATGAAACCAAATAACTATATAAATAAAAGAATAACTAAATCAACAGCAATAAAATCATCAGAGTTTATTGCATCCAGTAACAACACCTAATGAATTAAGCATGGCCTCTGTATTTCTGGTATCCACGGTAATTGCTTTTGAGTGCACAGCATCCAATGGAGTAGACAATAATTACAATAACTAGGATAATGGAATTGAAGATGGCTATAATTCTCCAATCTTTCTTAATATTGTCGAGTACTGCTATCTTGCAAGACTCGCAATCGAAGCAGAGTTCTTTCTGGACGTTGCTCCACGTCTTACAATCTTGATCTGACACTGCCGGGCCAGTTTTCGGGGCTATCCAATAGGTTGCATTCTGGGACTGGAAGCCACAGTAAGCCGGTGGCTTGCAGCAACCCGACTGCATGCAAGAAATTGGTGAAAGATCATGATCACACACACACCCACACACACATCCAACACAAATAAATAACATGCTTATCGAAACAAAAACAACAACGAATTATCAGTTTTATTCTCAATAAACTTTCGATTCCGCCTATGGTATCATATCGGATCCCTATCCCGAGTAATAGAAAAGGGTTGAAGGGATTTGACATTCAGTAGAACTTCTTTAAATCTTATGACACGAATCTTAAAATCGGGATGCCGCTATGTGTTCATTTAGTTAAGCCCTTGTTTGGACTCCATTAAAATCAAATTTTGAGGAAAAATGTATTTTGGAATAGAGATTTTTTGAAGAATGTGTAGTTAAAAAAGATTTTTTTTTTAAATTTACATGTAATATTATTTTATTAAAAAATATGTGGTTGAAAAGAAGAGATAAAAAAATATATTTTGAATAAAAAAAGAATCCAAAGAGGGGCTAAAGAAACCCAAATCAAGTAGAAGTTTAAGAAAGACACTTAAGTAGTTTCCTTTTACAACATAATTAATTGAAACCCAATTAGAAGTTGTCATTGATTGTATTAATCCTACTTATGTTGGATTTGCTCCTCAATGGTCACCAGTTCGAATCCCATCAGAGCCACTGGGATAAGTATCCGGCGTAAACTTCAAGGTCTGGTGGGATTAATCGAGGTAAGCGAAAGTTGACCCAGACATGCACAATTATAAAAAAAAAAAAATTAATCCTACTTATCCAAGAATACTATTGAGATCTTGACTAATTAAAGGAGTTTGAAAATATGGTTGGATAACCAAGTTTTAAGATCTTGGGGTTTACCAAGACAATTTCTTATATTCATAAAAATAAAGAGAAAATCCAAATATCCGCTTCCAATACTCTATATATGTTTTATCCTTCACATGATAGAAAATAAATAAACAAATTATAAGTAAAATATAGTCTGCACGCAACCATTAATGTGCAGTGCATGCATGTGAAATTTACAGTATTAATTGATGTTAATAACAAAATACTATGCACGATGAGGTAGAAACAAAGGCACACAAAATAAGGAACAAAACCAAAAGATATATGATACGATGATACAGAAACAAAGACAAATCCAGGATTATGAACAAAATCGAAATACATATGCTACTACGAGATAGAAACAAAAAGGGACACAGGTTATGATTTATGGATACAATACGATGAGATATAAACAAAGACAGGGATGAATTAATACCTGAATTAGAGACAAGTTACTTATGTAAAAGTCCTTGTCCTTTTTCTCCGTTAAATGCTGACACGAATTCACATCAACCAAACAATTCTTGAATTCATCCCAGTTTTCTGCATTGATCACATAATTCTGCAACCAACGCGAATAATCTCCAAGTCTATGTTCTCCAAACCTTTTGTCCGACAGTGCTTTTCCAACGTTTTTATTCGTGACAACAACTGTAAATATTGTAAAAGCAGCCAATCCGACAATAAGCAAGAACAAAACCAGAAGATAAACCCACATGAAAAATGAAAGTCTGCAGCAGGATCCCAATAAGCCCAGTAATGAAACGATTAAAAGGGCTAAACCCACAAATAATAGAGGCTTTTGGAGAATTTTGTGACATGGGGTGTTCGAATGTGTTCCCAACCAAAACGAAAACCCAATGGCCGCTACAGAAATTATGAATGTTAGAATGTTTAACAGAGTGATGATTCCATTGCTGACACGAGCCATTTTTCTTCGTTCTTTTTGCCAATTTTTTGTCTTTGAAATGGAAAACGATCAGATCAAATCAGATCACTAGAGAGAGAAGTTAAAACCCTGGGATCTGATGAACGATTTTCTTGAGTTCTTTCACGTCTTTTGAGTGTGTAAATATGTGAAGTGGGGGATGAGGTGGGTTGGAGGAAAAGATGGGGGTGTATCTCTAGTGGAATTCTTGTAACTGTGAAAAACGGTTTTTGTATGGCATTTCGAATTGAGATAATTGAAGTGGAGGTCCCCAATATTTTGAGACATATGAAAATTGGTCCTTGACTTTCATATCTTGACAGGTCCATCCTCAATATTCAAATCTTAATTTTCATTGTCGTATATTTTACCCTCACAAATAGTGGTCACATGTCGATTTAGATGGATTCCGTCTCTCTAAGGACTCTTTGCTACATGTATAAAGAGTTGAGGATGGTGCTTTTCAAGTTTTCAAGGTTTTGGATCTATTTGCATATATTATAAACGTTAGGGACCTAGTTATAATTTTCTCATTGTAAATTGCGATTCCTATTTTTAAGCTTGGTTTTGACAGAATCTACTAAATTACCACGATGGATAGGAGTTTGAGGAGTGGCAAATTCGGTAATTTGAGTTGGATTTAATTACAAAAGCTGAGGTGTACAGTTAAAGAGTTTAATCCGCATTAAATAGTTATTAAGAAAAGAAGTGTCCAACACTAACTGTTCTATAGGCAATTAATTTGCTAGTTTCATTGGATAATATTGAAAAGGAAATTAATGATAAATTCATTATAAAATGAGTAATGCTATTTAGACTAACTGAGGTTACAACCCCAGTCCATATAGCGTTAATGTGACATTAAATAATAAGTGAAATTAAATAAGTCATTTAATTTCACCTTAAACTTTGCTGCATGTACACCATGCTTGTACACTCCCCTCACATAGAGGGGGCCCACAAATTTTTTATTCATGGTGTACACTCCCTTGTATAGCATGGTATACAACCATCATTTTCCTTTCACATTTCACTTAGCCAATCATTTAGAGCAACTTAGACTGGGATTACAACCCAACTGAGGATGAATAACATTATTCTTATAAAATGGTCAAAATAAAATAAAATAAAAATTGAATATATAAATAGGAATATACCAGTGGGGTGGCTTTTAGTATTTGGATGAAATTGAGTTGGGGTGGGAGTGGTGAAGTGAATTAATTTAGGGAAAATTGCAACTGAAGTTGTGGAGGTGGGAGGTGGTGATGGTGGTCGTCGTGGTGGTGGGAGGAGGTGGGTGTGCCGATGTGGTGGTGATGACAGTTTGATTTTGGGTTGGGTTGGGTTGGGTTGAATTGGGTTAGTTGGGGGTGATTGGAGAAGATGACATGGGTTTTGATTTTTGATTTAATCATTTGATTTTAGTTTTTTTATATGAAAAAAGAAAAAAATTATCATTTTGCCCTTTAAGAATTAGTCAGCAATTGGTCAAATTTTTAATTTTTGGTCAATTGACGGTCAAACTAACTGTGAATTGTTTAAATGTTTGGTACCGTGGGTGACACAAATCAAAGGTTTGAACAAAGTCTGCAAAAATTTAAAAAGTTTGGTACAGCAACTGCAATTTTCCCTAAAAATAAAGGCAAACGAAAAGCATAGATATGATAATAACTTTGAAAGTTAAAAGTAAATTCTATTTTTTAAAAAAATTCATGTGTTGATTGGAATATTATTCATTCTCAAATTTTCTCCTTTAAACAATTAAATCTAAGATATATAATCCCAACCTTCAATTAAGCCAATCTGACGATCTAGATCTATAAAAACTTTAATTGAGAGTATTTGGATGTGGGGTTTTGAGATTTTAAAAACAGGTCTAACCGTTAGATTAGCTTGTAATTATTTACCATATTCATTGATAAGAAGAGCTTATATTTGAGACTTGGCACTTCATATCATGAATTTCCAAAAATTTGATCGATTTAGTACAATCAGTTCACCAGTTTTCAATAAAAAGGGACCAATATAAACGAATCGAGAGCTAGTTCCTTTTGTCATTTTTCATATATGGTGCTTGGTGAAAATTGTGCATATTGGAATTTACTTCCTCCATCTAGTTTTAGCTTATGTGCAATCTCAAAGCATGCACAGAATTGTTTCCATTTCAAAAGAATGGGGTACCCAATTTTGTAAAGAAGCAAGTTGGTAAATCAACATTTCATTATAATTACACAACAGAAACTGTCCAAATCTTCTTCAAGTCATCACATAGCTCTCCGGATATTATTCCTCACGCCAAATTTATAACACTAAGCCGAGTTGGAAAACAAAACAAAACCTAACTTCAAAAAATAGACATATGAAGGTCACGTCACAAATTAGGCACTTGTTTGTGCCCCATTTTGGAGGGAAAAACGTATATTTTGAAATCGTGTTATTTGGAGAATGTGTGGTTAAAAATATTTACGTGTAAATTTATTTTATTGGAAAATGTGTGACTAAAAATGAGTTTTTAATAAAATGGGACACCAACAAGGGCAAAAAGTATAAATGCTTGGCCTTCCCAGATAATTCCATAGTCGAGCTGGCTTGTGCAACTACAATAAAGACTGATGACCAGCTCGCTATTTTTATAAAGGTTGGTGACAAATTTCCTACTCAAGCAATAGGTTGGAGACTAAAGGCTGATTATTCCTTTTAACTTTACTAGTAAAAACTGATTATTAGAAGGTTCTTTGTTTCTTCAGAAATGTAGGTAAATATGAAAAAGGACCTTCAGGAGCTTTGACGAACAAATTTAATTTTAGCTAGGGAGATTTTTCTTAAGAAAATTATATTTTCCTTCCAAGGAGAAAAATTCAAAAACAATTAGATAGGTATAGGATTCTTACATCAATACATATGTAAAACAGAATACCTATGCAGTAGAAAGATTTCTAATGTCTATATCTCATCCAGAAACTGTTGAAGATCGTCCAGTTTTCCATTAAACAGGCCTACAAAATTCAAGCCAGCACTTAGTATTCAAAATCATTCAATGTTAACCCTTGGCAACTCACAATAATTACCATTGCCTTGATTCATTCGAAACATGTCTTCTTGTGGTATACGCAACCTCTTTGCTCTGATGCTTTGAATTTCGTCCATACTTCTCCTATTCAGCTTCTCCAATTTAGAACGAAATTCCGACGCAGTAGTAGCCAACTCTGTTGAAGGAAAAATCTACTCAAAAGGTTGTGATTTGACATAAAATAACTGAAGTGTGAACCAATTAAAGAAGTCAGAAAATCTTGCAAATTAGATCCCAGATATTCAATCTATTAGCAGTACATTGATAGCACAAACTGAAGAATCCAGACTGGTGAACCCGATACAATGTCAAGCGAAATAAACAGGACTAGAATCCACGTCCGGATCAGGAAAACGTAACAAATTTGAATAGTTGTGGAAATGAATTCAGTTAACTGGGTTGAATTGATTTTGACCAGGAGGTTGTACTTGAACTTGTTAAAAATGATTGTTAACAGGAAAGAAATAGAAGTTCACAACACATAATAAGCAGGAGAACTTAAATCAATTGATAATATTCTATCTGTGTTCTTTCTTAGGTTTGTGAAAGGTAAATAACTGCAAAAAAATAAGACAAATTAAAGTTTTTAACAGTTCTAAAGCAATAGATCTTGTTCCACAAAAAAAGCATTTTTTTATTCAGGCCCTGTTTGGTGGCCTTTTTTTTTTTTGTGGAAAAACATTGGTTTGAGTAGCGAATTTTTGGAGAATGTGTGGTTAAAAAGTAGGGAAAAATTTTGAGTTTACATGTAGAATATTTTATTTTGTGAATGTATGGTTAAAAGTGAATATGTAGAAAAAAGAGTTTTGAAAGAATGAAAGACAAACAAGGGCTCAATGTGCGTACAACAAGGCCGTGATCCCGATCAATTTGCATATTGACAATTTATTGGCATACATAAATCGGGCAGCACAGGAATTAGGAACGAGAATAATAGGAGTAAATTGGAGACCTGAGTAGATATAAAAGAAAAACCAAAGATTACTCCAATTCCATATTCAGATTGATAAATACAATCCATCACTTCCATGAAGGACTCATGAACAGTTTGTTGACCTAGGTTCTTTGGACAGTCTATGAAAGAATTATATAACTGTTGGCCAATGTCCCCATGAAGTAACAAGAAGTTAAGCCTCATTCTACCAAACTTCAGGCAGGTCGCTAGAATCCTTTTCCACAATTTTTTGGATACAGAAATCATAATAACCTCTTCCCAAATATTCAAGACCCCTTTTAAAGTAAAACAATTTGAAAGACATAATGAAGACTTACAGGTTCATTTCCAATTCCAACATATCAGAAAAGGAATTTTAGTTACCTTGTAACATTTTGGTGGTATCTTGCTTCTCATATAACTGTAATGCTTCTTCAACAGATCCAGCACACTGATTACTTGATAAAGACTGTTTTTCCAATGCAAGAAGTTCTTTGCCAAGGTCAGTAGATTCTTTTCCAACCTGTTTTAGTAATTTAAGCTTCATAAGCAAAACTAAGAAAATAAACTATATAAGAAATTTGTTAGTCTGAAGAATCTTATTTACCAAAGTAAGCTTGTCTCGCAAAGAATTCAACTGTGCATCCAGCTCGGTATCAGTAAGAGTATCTGGCAAATCATCAGCCGAAGATGAATTCTGGAAAGTCATGTCAAAGGCACTTTGAGGTCCAATTTGGTGAGTAGGGGTGGGGGGTCTGGATTACAGAAAATCGAAGTACTGTATTTTTCTAGCATATAGATGTTCTTTGAATAGATGGCAAACTCATTGTGTCTCTTGTTGACACTCCTAAAAATATAGCCCCTATTTGGGCTCCATTATTCAAAAAATACGTTTTTCCAACACTCATTTTAAACCACACGTTCTCCCATAAAATAATATTAGACGTAGTCACGTAAACCAAACAATTTTCCTTATTTTTTACCACATACTATTCCAAAACACATTTTCTCCAAAAAATTAATTTTAATGGAGCCAAAACAGGGGCATAATATGAGCTACTTTTCCAGTAATCATGTCACTTTTTCAGTGTTGACAATCTTCAAATTTATTAAAAGAAAGTGAGTACCAAAAAAAGTGGTATATTGTTTGTAAGATCATTGCAATGAGCTATTTGACTAAGACGCATATTAATTAAACTGATACAGTCACACATAAAGAAAAGTAAACTCGAAGATTGCATGGCAAAAGAATGCTCAAACTTCAGAATGTGGAATGTCCACAGTTCCAGCCAACTCAGGAACTTCTAAAAGTGGTATTTGGCTTGTTCAAGATCCCTAGTTTAATTATTAATTCGGCTATAGAGAACCCCAATCTGATAACTTATTTATATGACTGGGTTTAGGATGAGATGAACAAAAGGAAGACTTTCTGAAGAGATGGTGCGACAACCTTCTGTTCTTTTACAGTTTTGGCGTTTTAATAATTTGGTCAAGTCAAGGTGTGCTTCAGGATTGCAAACTCTGGAAAGGTTTATAAGTTACTGGAAAAATATAAGCATATAATCCCCATTGATTTATAAAAGCATAACAAGTTATCAAGTCCAAGATGAGTTAAAAGCTTCATATAGAGTCTTGTTATGTCATTGGGACATATTAGAAGGGTAAGTTACTTTAATTAGTTGTATGCATCTAAGGTGAAGTCTTAAAGTGACCAATTTATCAGAGTTGATGACTAGAAGTGCACTATTCACAAATTAATATGAATCAAATTAGTACAGCTGCTACAGCAGAGTTCAGTTGATCATCAACTTGAAGACACCTCAACTTTTCTTCCTTCATCAAGATTGCAACAATTCCTAAACTCACTTTTTTCCACGAAAATAAAACTTGTAAATCTGCTATTTGGCTATGCTAAGGTTCGTGCTGCATCGATATAGATTCTAATAGTTATACAATTTTTCTCCAAATTAATCAGCACCCATAAGCCTGAACAGCCATTTAAAAGTTGATCATTCTGAGCATCATGCCATTTAAAATAGATAACACATAAGAAATGTCCACAATGAAATAGAAAATATTATGTTTGGTATGAAGGAAAGTTGAACGGAGGTGGAGCAATGGAAAAATGGATTTGACTTTCCCAAGTTTGATTAGAGGGAAAATTGGAAAGTATTATAGCGGTGACATGAGTGAAACATAACCACGTGTTGATTTAAAAATACTTGAAATGATGTTTCATCTTATCTTTTTTCCCATCTAACCAAACAAGGAAATGAATTTAGTTTCCTGGCACGATGGATCCAGAGACTTTCCATCCTCATTTGTTCCCACCTGCTTCCCTCCAAGATGACCTAAGTTGTATGTCAGAAATGCATATATTATGCATGATTTGCTACTTCCCAAACTATCATGCAGTTCACAACTCCCAAAAAATCTGAATTATCCCTATTAATCGATTACTACTAAGGAACATAGTAAATCTTCAGAAGAACAGTACTATTCAGATAATTCAGACACGTAATCAAAATGATTGACTGGAAAAAGCAACCACCAGTAAACATACAGCTTTAGGTAGAGAAAATCCTTCAGGGACATGAAAACAAAATCGAAGAGAGTATTCTTCCCACTTCTTCAACCGGTTGTCCAGTGTCAACTGGACCAAATTTCGAATGTATGCCACACCCTATTGACGTAAAACAAAAGAATTTAAAAGAAATTAAGATATAAGTACAAAACAATAATCTGCATAGCAAATAAATTAACAACAAAAAGTGTAATGGAAATCTCATAAATTATGGTGAAAATGGAAAATAAAACTTAAATTGATACCCGGCTTAAATCCGCAGATCGATCAGTGCCTTCCGTTTTCATTTGAGCAGAAGCCTCCCTGTAATGACAGATGATATTGTCAAAATTCTAATCAAAGAATTACAGGCTTCTGTGTGCACGTTCTGTGAATAGACTCACATTCTTAAATACAAAAACAGCAAGGCTTGTGCTACTTGACCTTTTAATATAGAACCTCAAGATTCATATGGCAGGAGGGCTTCAAAAGTAACGAGCAATTCAACCCATTTAAATCTTAAAGCAAACAGTCATTTCCCAGATTAGTTTTCGCACTTACTCGAGGAAGTAATTGAAGGCCTCGTCGGTGAGATCGTCTACAAAATTAAGAACCTCATTGATGAAGAGCTGGGGGTTCAAGTTCAACGACTCGAATATCGCGTTGCTTTCTTTACCTTCCATTTTCGAGCAATCTTTCAATTCTCGAATTCACTGTGCGTCCCTGTGTACATGTGAGAGAGAAATGTGAGAATTTAAAGTGAATCTTATCTCCTTGTTCTACATTTCCCGCCAGATGAGTTTGGCCGTGGAGACTGAAAATTTGAAATGGTACGATTAGGGATTTTGACTATGGAGAACTAAATTAATCCCTGTCCCTACTATGGAGAACTAAGGGTCTGTTTGGTACAGATTTTCCGATCTTATCAATGTCATAGCTGCATACAATTTGATTCTAGATTTCAAGATTAATGGCATGTTTAGTAGTGATTCTCATTTTTTACAGTAAATTAATTCTTATTTTCAACCACATATTCTTCAATTAAATAATACTTTCCATCACATCAATACTTTTTTCTTCTTTTTCAACCACACATTTCTCATCATATCACTATTCTAAAATCAATTTTTCCCCTAAAAATCCCTACCAAACACACTCTAAATCAATTCGTCGGGTACTATTCATTTTTGAAGAATTTTGGTTTCCCAAATTACCCTCCTGGTCGAAATTGTTAGGATATCTTCACTCACATTTGTTGACTTTGACCAGCATTTTGGTTTCCATAATTGCCCCCACCTGTTGACTTCATTTTTAAAGCATTTTAGTTTTCCCAATTATCCCTACCCTACTGAATACTGTTCATTTTGAAGCATTCCCTTTGAAGGAATTTGTTAGAATATTCACCCATAATTGTTGCCTTTGCTGGTGGGAAAAATAATAATAATTATAAAATAAATTATTGAAATGATCCACACATCTATTTAGGATCCCTCCATTGTTGAATTTAACCAGGAAAATAAAAATAAAAAAGAAATGAAGAAATGCTCCGCACAATGCAGAGCATTTACTTCAAAGACTTTGGAGCAAGTTTGCAGCAAATTGCTACGCACTCTTTGGAGCAAATTGCTCTGCAACCACCTCTGCACAGTGCGGAGCAATGCTCCGCACTGTTCGAAGCTATATATTTTTTTTTTATTTTCCCTTATGCACATAAAATTAATACATATGCTCCTATTATTAAACATACTGGTACACTTTTTTTTTTTTTTGTCATACCTATATAAAATTAAACATAATAAATGCGTTTTCAAGTTGCCTTCATTTCTTTTTAGTTCGAAACTTATAAACCATAAAAATATCAACAGCTCTAATGTGTATTGGCATAACCCAATTTTCGATTTGTAAATTCAAAATATTTTTACGCAAACGGAAAAAAATAGAATCCCCCACTGATTTATTAAATACTATTACGATTCATTTGTTATACTTATGTTGAACTTAAATTAACTGGTTTTGCATCTTATTTTATAAAAATCGTTAATACAAACGTTCATATATAAATTCAAATATTACTCTATTATATTACTTACATTTCTTACCATCGAAGATTCGTTCACTAATTTATAGAGTATTTTATTAATTTTAATTATTAAGCATATTTGTGTCCATCTATACCTACAATTATTGACTTTTAAAATCCACTGTACAGCGTAGATATCTTTTAGAGCATATTTGTGTCCATCGATAGATATAATGATTGACTTCATTTAAGACCCAATGTACAACCCGCATGGCTTTTACAAGTCGGCAAATGGTGGACCACAATTTCTTGTACACGTTTTAGCCACTTATCAAATTCAACTTTACTACGTTAATACTTGACCGATCGTCAAAATGTTTTGTATTTCTTCTAAAACAAATACTTCTTCAATAAGGTTAGAGATAGAAAAGCTGTAAAAGAATAAATAAATCATTTACCTTATATGTCTTTCAGACATCGGGAAAAGGTAAACCACAATTTACTGCACACGTTTTAGCTGCTACGTTAATTGTTTATTGACTGTTAAGATTAAGATATTTGTATATTATTTGTACAATGCTTATTTAAGGTTATTAGATAACGTGCAAAAAATTATAGATTTTACTTTGCAACCGTAATAAAAAAAAATTGAAATATACAACACATTGCGTTCTTTGTCCGACAATCTTCTCTGCTTAAGGATATATGCTTTTAAAAACCCCCATCGAAAGAACATGATTACAGTGAAGCTTTTCTTATTTGTTCTACACTAAACAAATCTTTTTACATTTACACATATCCAAAGTAAATCCATTTGGTTGTAGCAACTGATAAAAAACAGTGAAATAAATAACCGTTTACTTATTTTAATCTCTCTACAGCTGCTCAAGTATATATTTCAAGGTATGTATATTCTCTATTCACAACAACACATTTGAAGAATTTTTCTCTTAGACTGTATATTTTGTTAGGCAATACAATTTATTTTTTCCCAGCTTCTCAATTTGAATTTTAATATATGTGTTAATAAATCTTCATTCAACTTATAAATAGATTTTTATGGAAAAAATAATGTGTTTTTCTATTTTCCTAATCTTTGCTTTCAGTTTCAACCATTTCATAACTTACCATAACTTATTGATATGGATGTTCCGAATGTATTTTCCGACGGAGTTATCACTCATGTGGACTTCGAAACAATGTCTTATCGCCAACAACAAACCCGTAGGCAAAACGAACGTCGAAAACGACTTCCACCTAGATGCACTGATCGTAGCAGACGAGCAGCTCAACCTATGTCATTTACAGATAATAGTGTTAATGTTGATCCTATATTATCTGAACAAAATGATTCAAATCTTGTGCAAATGCAATATCCTGCAGCGAATCATGCTAGCGAAAATCTTTGTGCTTGGATTCAAAGCGAAAATTCTCCACCTAATTTTACATCCACACTTGAAAGTAATTTTGATATATTAAATATCCCAACCACTTCATACGTATTACCTACATGTGATAATTGTAAATATTGTAGTGCAAAAAAATTTTCGGGGAAAACAAAGGCTTCTGTTGTTCTGATGAGAAAATTCATCCGTGTACACTTGATTCACCCCCTGAACTTTACGATTTATTTATGTCCAAAGAACCTACATCAATAGAATTCAAGAAGTTAGCAAGAGGATATAATAATCATTTCGTGGAAAAGGTAAACCACAATTTACTGTACACGTTTTAGGTGCTACGTTAATTGTTTATCGACTGTTAAGATTAAGATATTTGTATATTATTTGTACAACAGATGCTTATTTAAGGTTATTAGATAACGTGCAAAAAATTATAGATTTTACTTTGCAACCGTAATAAAAAAAATTGAAATATACAACACATTGTGTTCTTTGTCCGACAATCTTCTCTGCTTAAAGATATATGCTTTTAAAAACCCCCATCGAAAGAACATGATTACAGTGAAGCTTTTCTTATTTGTTCTACACTAAACAAATCTTTTTACATTTACACATCCAAAGTAAATCTTTTTGGTTGTAGCAGCTGATAAAAAACAGTGAAATAAATAACCGTTTACTTATTTTAATCTCTCTACAGCTGCTCAAGAATACATTTCAAGGTATGTATATTCTCTATTCACAACAACACATTTGAAGAATTTTTCTCTTAGACTGTATATTTTGTTAGGCAGTACAATTTATTTTTTCCCAGCTTCTCAATTGGAATTTTAATATATGTGTTAATAAATCTTCATTCAACTTATAAACAGATTTTTATGGAAAAAATAATATTTTTTCTATTTTCCTAATCTTTGCTTTCAGTTTCAACCATTTCATAACTTACCATAACTTATTATTATGGATGTTCCGAATGTATCTTCCGACGGAGTTATCACTCATGTAGACTTCGAAACAGTGTCTTATCGCCAACAACAAACCAGCAGGCAAAACGAATGTCGAAAACGACTTCCACCTAGATGCACTGATCGTCGCAGACGAGCAGCTCAACCTATGTCATTTACAGATAATAGTGTTAATGTTGATCCCATATTATCTGAACAAAATGACTCAAATCTTGTGCAAATGCAATATCCTGCAGCGAATCATGCTAGCGAAAATCTTTGTACTTGGATTCAAAGCGAAAATTCTCCACCTAATTTTACATCCACACTTGAAAGTAATTTTGATATATTAAATATCCCAACCACTTCATACGTATTACCTACATGTGATAATT